AGGATATAATATATTAAATGTATAACTGTATTTCAATAAATTATTGATACTTGGCTCTCTTACATCTGACTTGGTGCATCTCCTACTACTATCTAGCATCTTACTATCCTTCTTTCCTGTACTTTGGATCATGTACACTTCTTCATACCACTTTGTAACAGATGGTTTCAGTTTACTTTATACCAACAAATGCTTACCAATTCACTATGAAAGTGGTTTTCTTCTTATTTTTGATTTCCCCTTGCCCCTGTAACCTTATAATATATTTATATGTGAACCCTCACCCTGTGCTAGTGGCTGGCTATTAATTGTAGTTCAGACTATGCATGCTGATGGACAAAGGTTTATAGTTTTAGACAGTTGTTCGTAGATTTATAGAGTTTTCTTTATTTGGAGGTTTTTATTCAGCATGAAATAGAAGTTGTATTATTGGTCATATTAGAGGATTTTCTTGGTTGTGATAGCTAGAGCCAGGTAATTGGATTGTGATTACTGTACGGTTGCTACTTGTGAGTGATTTTTATACCAATTGGTAATTCGGTATTGATAACTCCAAGTATGACCACTCTGTTTTTATGCTGTGGAATATATGAATCTTGTACCTAGTAGCTAGCATTTGTCTATGGAGTTCAACTTTTGTTCATCTAGCCACTATGACCTGGACAGAAGAGGTAGATGTGTCTACCCAGTTCAGGCTAATGGAATTCATATATCTTAGTTAGTCTTAGAATATATTAAATAAATAAGATTATCCTCTTTTCTGCTTTGCTGTCTTTCAACTAGCAGTTCATTAACATGTGACTACTCATACAGGAGAATATAACTACTTGAAGACTAAATCAATTACTAATCAATTGTAACTACTAACTCATAGGATGAAGATGCTAGTAAACATATAAATACTATTTATTTGATTTAGTTAGAAGTGTGCAGCTAATATCACAAAATGGAAAAAATTATATTCCATTGGGGTAGGTTTTGTGATTTCTGATATGATCTTGAATTCCTGCTAGGATTCTCCATTTTGGAAGATAAATTTCTTGTACTGATATACTAGCAATTTGTTTTTTACTGTGAAAAAAACTTCTTCCATTCTTCTTGGATTATTACCTTAGCCTATGGATAACTTTTGGATATTTGTGTCAGTGATTGTTTCAGATGAACTTGTATTAAAATCAGTACTCAAGTATGAGGCTAGTGCTAAAAATGATAAGCGAACAGCACCTAAATTTTACACCCTAGCAACCACCTACTATCACAATAAGAAAATAAATACCCTACTATGACAGCCTCTAATAGGTAAATAGAGGACACCTATAAGGACTAGAGTACTTACTTGTCTCTAGTCTGGATTATTGCAGTCAGAAGTGGCCCAGTAGATGTGTATTCTACCTTCAACAATGTTATCAAGTAGTCATAGACTAAGGTTTAAATAGATGAGATCATGTCCTGAATGCCTGTGCTGCTTAGACATGTACAATATTTGAAGATTGATTGATCGGCCTAGAAGTAGATTGGAGGAGGGAAAGTTGTCCTGGGAGCGCCTTAGTTAAGAGGTTGGTCTGTTAGCATCTGGAAGGATGATTTAGAGAGTACTTACATGGTACAGTTATTCACACTATAAGGCTTGCAATAAGCCATTCATCTATAATCAAAATCAGCATTAATGGATGCAATATAGAACCCGATATTGGCGAAACAACTGTCGACTTTTGGCAAAAACTCATCTATTCAGAAGAGTGCAGGTTTGATACGTCAAAATGAGGTTCAACCTAGATTACTTGTTGACCATATGAATGCTGTTACCCCAATCACTACCTCTGACATACATGTTATAGTGAATATAGTTTTGTTTCTGCTTAGAGTACTGTTTGTTATAATTAGAAGTTGTCTTCTATTTTTCTTGTTAGTACTCGTAAAAAAGGTGTACTCATGAAGGACTATCTTGAACAGGTCCTAGAATCTGTTTTTTCTCTTACTTTTCATAGTTTGTTAGGTTTTTCTGTATTTCCCACTTCTCAATATGTAGAAACTTGAGTACCAGTTATGGTACTAGTACCTATCCTGCCTTGGTGGAGATAAAGGCTAAACTAGATATACTGGTATTGTCACGAACGTGGCTTAGCATGGAAAAGGTTTTCACGTGATACATGGTTATGAGTCACAGGTATGTTATTGTTTTGCGCATATAACTTATTTGGGTTATATGATTTGTTATGCGTGGGATTTGTGATGCTTTCGCACATGGCTCAAATATGAGTCATGGGACATGCGCCTGACGAGTATGCCTTACGAGTGTGCCTTACGGGCAAGCCTTGCGCATATGATTTATGTTTCGCACATGACCTCATTATGATGTCATGGGTTTCGTGCATATGACTCAGTCGAGTCATATGATTGGTTTATTGCGTTATGATTGGTTTATGAGTTTCGCACATGACCTCGCTATAAGGTCATGGGTTTGAGCATGAGATTACTTTGGTCACATGACTAGTTTGTTTTGATTTGGTTTTACACATGTGACCACTTTAGGTCACATGATTAAAGGCGGGAAGAACACTATATAAGGAGGCCGAGGCGGGCAAGGAAGATAGGTTCTTTACGCTTTGTTCTAAGTACTTTTCCTACTTATTACTTTAACGAATATAAAACATCTTTACGATCGTTATCTTTATTGCAACGTTATCGTTACGCCAAGGAAGGCGCCTTACGAAGAAGAGTTAGAGAAAGCTTACGATAGGCGTTCCCAGTAGAAGACAAGGGTCTTGTACTATAGGTAATGTAGGCAGAGGCCTAAAGCTATTGTAAGACAAAGAAAGAAGAGGACAGGAAGAGAAGTATCGTTCCCTGTCGCCAAGCACTAACTATCTGAGAAGGGATCGTTACAGGTATACCCCTGACACACAGCATCCTCCAATCTAAATCCGATCAAAAATGTCTAGCACTGGATGAAGCACTATATCAAGGCACTCAATTGCTGCCCAAGAACATTTTAGGAAATATGCGATGTGATCAAGAAAGCGTGGATGAATTTGGAATTGGAGTATTTGAATAACATTATTGATATCATACCTAATTGGCTCAGGCAAGTGATACAATGAAGTGGCATGCAAACTGAATTTTAATTTTAATTTCTTTGGTGATAATCTTTCCTCTATTATTTCCTTTGTTTTTGTCTTATTATTTCTCTTTGTGGTTGAGATATTGCTTGGAGGTATTCAGCATCCAAATTCTAACTCGTGTTTTTATCGCTACAGCTCATCATTTCTGGCACCAGCCTCGTACATTACGGAAAAGTTGCATCAAGCTAATTTGTTCTGTTGAGCTGTCAGCCATACCATCGGAGTCCTGCAAGATTTGAAACTTCTCACCATTAGACCATCTTGGCACGACCCTTGGCACGATTACCTATCATACCATGCAAATTTGGTTTTCACCTTCCACCCGCTTTCTACTTGAATCTTGGTGTGCCTATGCACCCACACTCCAACCAGCATATCCTCTTCCTGCTCCACACCCGACCCGAATACCTACGCTCCACACGATAAAACATAAGCACACCCTTTCTCTATACTACTACGCGACCAATATACTCGAGTATTTGAGCACCTCACCCACGCCTTGACACTCCCATCCAATCCCGTCACAACCTGACCAGCCAACCTCTCTCCAACATCGTGCTCCATCAAATAACTCCAGAGTGCTCGGGCTCGCCACCCTGAACTCAGCATTTAAATGGTCTCGCAGGCTATCAAATATCCCTTTCTGAGTGGTACTTCAGTGACATTCTAAAGGTCTTCTTGGTGTATCCTGCCGTGCACCATTTCTCTGATAGTGGCTCATATTCGATATCCATAGGTTCCAGAGGGAGGGGTAAAGGAGTTGAAGTCTGGTCATTTTTCAGATGTCATTGTCGCCACTTTGAACCAGTAGGGCATTCTCCAATGCAGTTACCGTGTAGGGCTCGACGCAGGCGCAGCCCCGGTAAGGGGTCAAGCTATCATATCTCAGGGAGGGATATCATATCATATCATTATTCTAGACTAAAGGGCTTCACCCCAATATACATCAAGATATCTCACTAACGCCAACTTATGATACCGGCCAGCCAACCGGTGAGCGGGTACTAATGCAATGGTCAACGGTGTACCCGCAGTCTCGTCCTAAAAGGACAATACGCCGGCGACCAACATAGCCACACCCAAAGACCATGGATTGACGGCCTTCTTGAAAGCCCCACCCTTTGCACCTTCTGGTGTTCCAACGACAGCCACATCATCGATCACACAGATCCTATCACACTTATTCCTTGTAGCCCTCCTCACTTTGCTGTTCGCGGAGCCGCGGTCATCCCCGGTAGTGTTGAACGCCATCTCTACGAATTCAATCTCCGCATAAGCAGACTTTCCCTTTGTCATGTTTCCGGACCAGACACCACCATCAGACCACAAATTCTACATTCCAATCAATTAGCCATATCCACGAGTGAAGGTGTAACTTAGTGAACAGACCATAATAAAGCTGGAAGCAACGGTTGGAACACCATATTTCTTATCAAGGAAATGCTCGCCGTCCACGAACCAGGATGACTCGCCATGTACCCAATCCATGCGGTGGGTATGCCAATCGTCATATTTGATCTGGGCTGTTGGAGTTTTGCGTTTTTTGAGTTTCTCAGCTTGAGTGCCGTCGGTCGTGTCCTGGGAGGTCATGTTCACTTTTGTTGAGGAACCTCGGATCTCATCCCCGCCTTCCCAGGTCGTTAGCCTCTTACAATCCCCGGGCCAAGCTAGGATACAGTGGATGTAGGTAGAGTGATAGCATACGATCATCCGTAACGGGCTGATTGGAGTATCGGATCTCGGTCGGATCATCTCGAGTCAATATTGTCTCAAATGGTGGCCGCCTTGCTATTAACAGCATCACCTTAGC